CTCGGCCTTCAAACCACTGCGATGTCCGCGTCCGCCATGCTGCTAGCCACTCCTTCCGCCATGCCGCGCGCCTCCCAAAGATACCCCTGGAAAGTATCGCTCTTCCACCTGCCCCAGCGCTGCACGAGCGCCGTGTCCTTGAATGCAGCATGCAACGCTGGAGCTCCTCCGATCCTCAGGCTATAGGGGCCTAGGTCGTCCGGGTCCATGCCCTCCGCTACGGCCGACTGCATCGCCGCGCGCTGGACGTCCGCCCCCACGACCAGGCGCGCGTCGTCGCAGGCGAAGAGCGGATAGTACATGCGCGTCCCCGAAAAGCGCTCTCGCGCCCATCCCTCGTAGATCTCCAGCGCCTCCACCGCGTAGATGTGCTCGTCCTTCTCTGCGCCTGGCGGGACCTCGACCCAGAAGTGGTTGCGCCGCTCTCCTCGATTGTACTGGTCCGTCTTGCTGGCCCTGATCTTGATCGCGACCTCGTTCGCTTCCTTCCAATCCCGCGTGGGCCCCCCACCCGCCTTGGGGGTCACGTCCGCGCCTCGGAGACCCTTGCCGCCTGCGCAGCCGTTCTGGTCGCCGGAGACGCATTCGCTAGCCCTCAGCAGGAAGAAGTAGTTGCGAGGCCGCCTCGCCCCAAGGAGCCGCAGCGATCTTGAAATTGAGAATGTATCATCACGTCGACGTCCTGAGGCTCGGCATTGGGATGGCGTCGCGGGCCGCCCGAGCGTTATCGCATCGTCGCGCGCCGCCCCCCCCCCTGCCGCTGAGACGCGCCGCGCGCGCTGCGAAGGCGCGACCAAGGCGGGCCCGAATCCAAGATGCCACGTGGCCGCCGCGCATCTCTCTGCCGCGGCGACACTTCACCCTGCGGTCGTTGGGCGACGCGCGCGCCCAGCGCTCCCGCGCGCACTCCCTCGCGCACTCGTGACCCCCGACGCGCCCCCCATCCGTTCGACGGCTCGAGCATGGCCGAAGGGGGCCCTGCGTGCTTTCTCAAGGGGTCCGAATCCACAATGACCCCCTCGCGGGCAGGCGAGCGCCGCCCCTCTGACTCAACTGCGAAATTTTGACACGCCAATATGCCGCTTGAATAAAGGCGGTCGTTTCTGCGAGGCCCGCAGCAGCCCAGGGCTTTGAACCTGTTTGCTGCTCGAGAGGGCGCGTGTCTCGCGGCGGCTTTTAGAGGCGCGCAATAAACGCTTGTCACCCTTGCTGGCGCCGCGCCCCGCGCACCCCAGAATGGCTCGCGCGCCGCGCGCGGCCTCGGGGCGCGAAGCGGCGCGCGCGGGCGGGCGGGGGCCCGCCCTCGCCGCCACCCCTTGTCGCGCACGCGGTCAATATCGCGGCGCTCCTCAAATTGCGTTCCCTGTTCTAACTCCCGCTGCTGCCCCCTGCCGCGATGCGGCGGAAAGGGGCGAACGCCTCGCGCCGAGCCCTAACCAGGACCACGTGCTGCTCCAGTAAGCCCCGCTTGGCGGGAGCATTCGCGGCCGCCGGCGTCGCGGCAGAAGCGGCCGGGGCCCCCTTGGGAGCCATTGCGCGAGACTGAGCAGGCGGGCGGGGCCGCGCTGGTATTCAGTGGGCCGTTTCCGAAAAGAGTGGGCCCTCAGGACCAACAGCTGCGGCCCCTTTGCCCCTCCCTTCCCCCCCGTTCCCCGCGCACCCCCCCCTTCCCTGCCCTCCACCTGCCCCTGCCCGCCCTTTCCCTGTCCTCCACCCACTACCAGCCCCTCCCTAGTGCCCCTCCCCGGCCCCCGCCCCTCTCCCGCGCCCCCCCCCCTCCGCCGCCGCGCGCCCGGCACCCCGGAGCGGTGCCCCAGTCCGGGCCCAGGGCGAGGCACCCCCCGAGGCCACCCCCAGGGGCCACCCCGCGGGGCAACCCCTGGGGCGAGCCACGATTTTCGCCCGCGATTTTGCCCACGATTTTCCGTTAATTCGAATCAAAATGAAACAAAATCGCGTTCAAAATCGTGGTCAAAATCGTGGGCAATCGAAATCGTCTGCAAAATCGCCAGCAAATCGTTGGCAAAATCGCGGGCACAATCGCGGGCAGAATCGCGGGCGAAATCGCCGGCAAAATCGCCGGCGAAATCGCGGGCAAATCATGAGTCTCGGGAGGATCGCAGGCGTGTTTTACGTAATGTTCTTCCTTGTGCACCGACGTCGTGAGCTCAGCAAGTGTTCATTCCACACCCCCTAGGGATTCACCGAGTGTCTTCACGTAGTGGTACTTGCGCAAGGTCCTCACATGGCGCGCTCGCAGGAGCGATCCAGGAACATCGCGGGAGCATCCGATGAGCACCCCACGAGCGTCCCAGAAGCGAAGCGCATGCACGTAGTGCAGGCACATCTTGTTTGTGTTGCACTCGATGTTGTACGTAGGGCATTGGCGTAGTGGACTCACGTAGTCTCTATCGCCCCTCCTGAAGGTAACGTCGTCTTTTCACGCAAGTGTATTGGCGCAGCGTCCTCACGTAGCGCGCTTGCAAGGGCATCCCAGGCGCATCATCTGAGCATCCTTGAAGCGTCCCGGGGGCGTAGTGCTTTTACGTCGTGTTTTGACGTGGGTGTTTTTGCGTAGTGGTTTACGTAGTGCGTTGACGTAGTGAAATCACGCATGCCCCCACCCCCCCATGCGACTTACTGAATGCTTTTGCGAAGTGTATGTTCGCAATGCCCTCACGTAGCCCGTTCGCGGGAGCACCCCAGGAGCATTCTAGGAGCATCCGGGGAGCATCTCAAGAAGAGCATCCCTGGAGAGTCCCGAAGAACCCCAGAAGCGTATTCTATGTACGTAGCGTTTCTAATGTACGCAGAATCCACTTCACACGTAATGCTTTCGCGTGGCGCATCCGCACTGGCGCCCGATGAACGCAGGAGCATCCTGGGATCAGACCGCCAGCACCACAGTAGCCTTCTAGGAGCATCCTGGGAACATCCCAAGGTATCCCAAGAGCGAAACGTATCCCAAGGTATCCCAAAGAGAGAACACACGTAAAACACACCTCGCGGCAAAATCGCCGGCGAAATCAGCGTTATCAGGTCTCTCTGGTTCTCGCCCTAGCGCCGCGCACATTCTTTTTGAATGTGTGCAAAAGGTTTCTCGAATTGAAAGCGGTTCCTTTTAATAGTGTGGCTCTCACATTAGCATGGCGCACATTCGTTTGAACAATTCGCAAGAGCTTCGCGGATTGAGGGCGGCTCCTTTTCAAAATGTTGCTCCCGCTTTAGCATGCCGCACATTCGTTTACAAAAACTCGCAAGAGTTTGACGGATTGAGGGCGGCTCCTTTTCAAAATGTGGCTCTCGCTTTAGCGCGGCGCACGCTCGCTTTAAACAGTTGCAAGAGCTTCACGGATCCCCATGATTAACGTACCACAAATTTTCTGTGTTGAAAGGATTCAGGGTTATACGGGCGCAACAGTTACGTTGATTCGCTGTGTTGAAGTCCCAAGAATGGCGTTCTGGCACGATTCCGGACCGTCAACACGCAACAGTCAGGTTGATCCGTGGCGCTGGAATCCCGAGAACATTGTTTTAGCATGCTGCTGGGTCTTCAAACGATTGTCTTCCAACGAGGCAGTTCCCACAATGGAAATGAACTGTTGTAGGGGCCTATGGAGAAGGAGCTTGGAGGGAGGGTTTATTCCAACATCGTTGATGACTCTTGGGTTTACACTGGTCCTCCTCCTCCTCCTCCTCGTCCTCGTCCTCCTCCTCCTCACCCTAGTCCTCCTCTTCCTCCTCCTCCTCCTCCTCGTCCTCCTCCTCCTCGTCCTCGTCCTCGTCCTCCTCTTCCTCGTCCTAGTCATCCTTTTCCTCCTCCAACTCCTCCTCGTCCTCCTCCTCCTCGTCCTCCTCCTCCTCCTCTTCATCTTCCTCGTCCTCCTCCTCCTCCTTCTCTTCCTCCTCCTCCTCACCTGTGGGGGAAGCCCACATGTACCGATACCGCTACTCCCTGGACCTTCTGTGCGCTCTGACCAGGACTGCGAGGCGAATGCAGCGGTAGCAACGAGGGTCGCCCAGGAGGCCCACACAGGGGAAAGCGAGGGAAGCGTGGCGGAATTGGCACCTGTTTCTCCCCTGGGGGAGGGGAGAGAGGACAAGAGGGAGGCCCGCCAACCAATCGGCACGAGCAGCATATCTCGGAGGTCCGCGCTGGTGGTTCTTGGGCCGCTTCTGGACACCCACCCTCCCCAGGCCCGGGAGGCGCCGCCCCGAAGTGGGGGGGGGCGTAGAGAGGGGAGACCTGGCGGCGGACCCCGAGAAGGCCGTGAAGGCCTGCCAGGCCACCACAGCCCAACCCGAAGACCCGAATTCCGGGTTTGGGGGTGGCACTGGTTCTACAGGTGTGTTTTCAATCTTCTCCGACGCCCCCCCCCCACTGGGAATGGATGGCAGATTGGTTCCTTCGGGGAGGGCTGGGGTGGCCTGGTGGGTGGTGAATAGCGTCTGAGCGACGAACAGAAAAAAGGGTCTGACGCGAGATGGCGTGGCGACCTCACGCAGCAGATTGCGCGGGCCGCCAGCGCGGCACGCTACGCTGGAGACGAGGGCGCTTGCGCGCGACCTCACGCGGACAGCTTACGCGCCAATGTCGGCGCAGACGACCCCGTTCTCTGACGTCGCTCATCTGTCGCCGCGCCGTGTATTCTCGACGCGCCAAGGTCGACGACGCCGACAACACGGCAAACCCACGGAACACCCTGCTTCTCGCGCCTCGCGCCCCAGGTAAACGACGCCAGCACCGCGGCAAACCCCACGGCACACCCGCTGCGTCCGAGGCGGCGCTTGCCCTGGTCGCTGAGGCGCCCTCCCCGAGACGTACGGCCACGCGTCGGAAACAGACGGCGCGGCGACGTCTAGAGATGGAGGAGGGAAAGGGGAGCGACAGACCCGACCGAGAGGGAAGCTGTCACGGCGCGCAGATCAAGATGCGCGGAGGGGGAGAAGCGGGGGGGGGCTGGACTGGCAAAAGGAGCTTCCCTCGTCCCTGGTCCTCCTTACGTCGTAGTTTCTTCCTCCGTCTCCCCGGCTTCGTCTAGCTCCTCCTCGTCGTCGGACTCCTCCTCGCGGGCAGCGCTTGCACCAACAGCGCCTGGCAAGCAATGCGAAGCCAGGTAATGATGCGACCAAGCAGACCGCCAGTGGTCTGGCAACCTCCCCTCGAATACCTTTTGGGACACGCAGCCTTCAGACAGGAGTACAGCTGTGAGGTGTGAGGGATCAAGGGGGAATTCGATGGAATTAAGACCGACATGGTCCAATATGGCACCGCGACGTGGTGCACTCATGCACAAGACACCCTATGGGGAATAGGGAAGGTGAGGGTTGGAGGAGGAGGAGGAGAAAAGCTTCAGGCTCGAGATAGGCCTAGCGTTTGCATCATGCATGCCTGTCAGTCTATCGAGCGATATACTTGTATATGCGATCCATCAACTACTCAAGTACGGTTAAGATTTAAATTTAGTAGGGATCGATTCACCGACACATCAGACTACCATTCCAACAGCGTGCTGCTGCCGCCTGAAGGCTCATGGTTCGCTACTAAAGTACCGCTGGCCTCATCTAAGCATGACGCTTCTCTGGAAGCTCCTCGCCTAAGTATCAAACTATCCAACTACCCGTCTAGTCATTGGTCCAACTGTCAAAAGCAATTATTCGTTCAAGCACAGCGCAGCAAGCAAGCAATCGCGGAACAACCACCGGCCGACGACACGACAGCCGCGGGACAACCACGGGACGGCCACGCGGGACGACCGCTGGGCAGACCCACGGACACGGCCGACCGTGCGGGACACCCGCCCGAGACACCCTCTATGACGATCCCCAGGCCGAATCCCGCGGGCAGGGGATAAGGACCATCAATCGCTGTGCTGTTTCGAGGCGGCACAACCTGCTTCCATGTTGCAGAGCTTGCTCTCGGGATCCTGGTCGTATGCCGAAATATGGCCAAGGCAGCTCCAAGCGTGCGGTGAAAAGAGGGCACGCTCTGCCACTGCGCACGAATTCTCTCGTGCAGATTGAACTGACACACCTGCGGAAAAAAACGCAGGATTGCAAATTCCATGTGACAAGCTCTGCCCTAGCAGTCGCGTTTCCAACGTCCTGCAATTATCCAACAAATGTGAGCCCGCTCCCTGGTCCTGACAGCTCGAGCAAGATAGTTGTGTGAGCCGAGGCGAAACTCGAGACAAACCGCTACATCTCAGACGCAGTGGCTGCTGCAAACTGTTACGATCAGCTGCGACCCATCTTTACAGGCGCGGATCCTGAAGGGACCTGGCAGCCAAAAACCTCATAGAGCTTCTGGACCTCTCGGCGGGAGTCCTCGTCGATGTGGCCCTGTGACCGGTACAGCCTCAGAAGGATGTTATGCGTTATAGTCGACGGCACCACGCCACTGGAAACCATTTCCTGCCAAAGGCCGACGCCAAGACTGATGTCTTTGGCCTTCACGCATCCGTCCAACAGCGTGTTGTATACCAATTCATCCCAACCCATGCCACGTGCCCGGATAGTTTCCGCCACGTTCAAAGCCTTGTCAAGGTCACCGCGCTGGCAATGACCCTTCACCATTGTCGAGAATGTTATGAGGTCTGGCTGTGTGGGGCCGCCCTCTACGACCATCTCGCCGAATATCTGCTCCGCGTCCAGCACCTTGCCGCTCCGGATGCACGCGTCGATGATTGAGTTGTAGGTTATGGTGCTGCGAGGGACGCCCTCCTTCGGCATCTCCCGAAAGAGCTTCAATGCCTTGGATAAATCCTTCTGTTGCCCATACCCTTTGATGAGCTGCGTGTAGTAGATACTGTTTCTGTGTTTCCCCTGCTGACGAAGCCCCTCGAAGACCTCTGCAGCCTTCTCAATGTCCCCACACTTCACGCAAGCATCAATCATGCAGCCAATCGTGATATCACTGCATTCCAGGAGCTGCTGCTCCAGATCTTTCCAGATGGCGAGCACATTCTGCAGGTCTCCCATTCCCCCGTATGCTTTCAAAAGGATACCTTGGGTAACCGAAGATGGGGCAACTTTTGCCATCTGCATCTGATGAATCGTCGCTGCGAGATGGTTCCAGTCCCGCAGGCGGCAACAAGCATCCAAAAGTCCGTTGAACAGTATCTCATCGACGTCCTGAGATGGATCCTGCACAAACCTCCCGACGAGTGCTATCGCCCTCCGGGCCTGAGGCGTGTTGGAACTCCCGCCCTTGCCCAGCGTCATTGACAGCATCTTGGAGACGGTGCGTGTGTCCACCCGCGCTCCCCTTCGAAGCATGTCCTCGAAGGCCTCCCAGGCCTCGTCGGTCCCCCCGTGCCGCAGGGCGTCCTGCAGTGCGCTGCGGAGAGGTTGATGGGCCTGTGTTCCACCACCACCACCACCATAAGTTGGAGGAGGAGGGAGTCCTCCTCCTCCCCCTCCTCCTCCTCCTCCTCCTCCTCCTCATCCTAGCCGTTTCCCTCCCGAGTGTGGCTCAGGGGAGTTTCGGGCACGTACTTGGAAGCAGCTCGTGCCCGAGAGCCAATGTCCTGGTGAGGCCTCTCCGCGATGGGGCGGCGAACGCTTGCGCCGAGCGCGTTTGCAGTGGTGCCGCTCTGTGGGACGCAGCCGAGGCAGCCCCATGCAGGGGCGCGGCGCGGCGGGCTGAAGGAGCAGAAGCCGGCGGAGTGCGTGCGCGACGACGAGGACGACATCATCGCCACCTTCCTAGCGAGGCTGCGGGCGTCTGGGGTGCCCACGTTCAGCATGTCCGAGCTGGACGGCGAAGCTGCGGCCTTCGACTGCGAGGCGTGTTTCGGGGTCGACGGCATGGGCGGCTCGCGCATGGACGAGCTGATGGCCAAGACTGGGGAGCTGCCGCCGTCGGCCAAGGCCGAGGAGGAGGCCGAGCTCACAGCAGTGGCCGAGGCCATCGCGCTGGAGGAGCTGTACCTGGCCGCGCCGCCGCACGAGGCCGTGGGGGCCGCGGACAACGTGTGGGAGGCGAAGGCGTTGCCCCACGTCATCAGCTACAGCGCTGGGATCAGCGCGTGGGAAAGGGGCGAGCAGTGGCAGCCAGCGCAGACGCTGCTGAGAGAGATGTGGGGGGGGGGCGATGGTGCTGCCCAACGTCATCAGCTACAGCGCTGATATCTGCGCATGCGAAAAGGGCGAGGAGTGGCAGCGGGCCCTGGCGCTGCTGAGCGGAATGCGGGAGGCGAAGCTGGAGCCCGACATCATCATCATCAGCTACAACGCTGGGGTCAGCGCATGCGAAAAGGGCGAGCAGTGGCAGCAGGCGCTGGCGCTTCTGAACGAGATGTGCGAGAACGGCGAGCAGTGGCAGCGGGCTCTGTCGCTGCTGAGCGGAATGCAGGCGGCGAAGCAGAAGCCCAACATCATCAGCTACAACGCTGAGATCAGCGCATGCGAACAGGGCGAGCAGTGGCAGCAGGCGTATGCACTCCTGAGCGAGATGTAGGACGTGTGGGAGGCGAAGGCGTTGCCCAGCGTCTGTAGCTACAACGCTGAGATCAGCGCGTGCGATGTGCAATCGTGGCCGAGGAAGGGGTCCGACGAGATCGCGACGACCAAGTACATCGTGAAGGTCAGGAGCGACGACATCGCTCCGCTCACGGCCGACCGTGACCTGTGGCGGCCTGGATGGCAAGCCGACGGTGAGGAGCTTGCCCCTCCTCTGCCCTCGGCCGCCGAGGTAGCGGAGGGCCGCCAGTGGCTGCGCTCGAGCTTCGGCCCCAACTCTCCCTGGGCCAGGTGGGCGAGCCGTGAGCGGCGGCGCCAGAGGTTCAAGGGCTGCGTGGGCGGTAGCTATGTGTAGTTGCTGGACTCGGCTCGAAGCGCTGGCGTCTTTCTGGTGGCGGCCTGGGGGCTGCTTCGTTCTGCGGGCGGCCTCGGGCTGCTTCGTTTGGGCCGCGGGGTTGCGCTCGGTTGCCCGTGGGTCTCCGTCCCCGCGGGGGGCCTTGGCCACGGTTCTCCCATCCTGGGAGGTCCGTCGCTGGGGTGCACCTGTCTGGCGTGGCCCTCGGGCTCCTCGTCGCCACTCCCGCTTGCGAGCCGCAGCGTCGGCAGGTGGACTTTTGTCCGCCCAACCCCGTACCATACCATACCTCCTCCTCCTTCTCCTCCTCCTCTTCGTCCTCCTCCTCCTCCTCGTCCTCCTCCTCTTCCTCCTCCTCGTCCTCCTCCTCCTCGTCCTCCTCGTCCTCCTCCTTCCCCCCTCCAACTCATGGTGGTGGCGGTGGAAAACAGGCCCAGCAGAGGTTGCCTGGCCCCCGCATGGCTCGCCTGCCAGCCAGCCGCCCTCCCGAGAGGCGTGGGCGCGCCACTCGCGCCCTCCGCGCTGCGCTCAGTGGCCCTCCTGGCAGAGCAGCGCGGCATGTTGCTCTGGACGGCAGGAGAGAAAGAACGGGAGAGACAGAGAGAAGCGAGAGCGTGACAACCGACTTGGAGACACGGTGGAAGGCCTGCGACAGTGCGACAGTGCTAGACCGAACAGGCCTTGAGCCCCAAAGAGGGAACGATCAACAAATATGCAACTTCGGGCGAACTCCGCTGAGCAGCTGCTGCGAATGGTTTCGACGTCTTTCCCGTATGACTCTGAAAGGCAGCCAGGGATGTGCCCAACTCGCCCACGAGTTCAGGCAAAACCCAAGTACGCATCTGCGTGGGGCACCCGTGCGCTGACAACCCAGCGGCGCCAGAGAATAACGACCGCTGCGCGCTTGGCGGCACGGTAAGGCCAGATCTGGATCTCCGCGGCTCACCACAGGGACGCAAGAGCGTGGCGACCAGTGCACGCCGGCCAGCACGCAGGAAGAGCGAGCTCACAATTGGGACCTGTGTGACTCGCAACGCCGCTGGACACCACAGGTGCGCAGGAACGCAAAGACAGGTGCACGCTTGTCGGCACTAAAGGAGGGCGAGGTCACATTGGGACCTGCGTAGGCCACCACTGTGCTGGACACCGCAGGTGCGCAGGAACGCAAAGACAGGTGTACGCCTGGCGGCACTAAGGGAGCGCGAGGCCACATTGGGCCCTGCGTGGACCAGTGCTGGACACCGCAGGTGCGCAGGAACGCGCCGACAGCTGCACGCCTGGCGGCACTGAGGGGAGCGCGAGGCCACATTGGGACCTGCGTGGGTCACCACTCCGCTTGACACCGCAGGTGCGCAGGAACGTGCAAAAAGCTGCACGCCTGGCGGCACTGAGGGAGGGCCAAGTCACATTGGGACCTGCGTGAGTCACCACTCCGCTGGGCACCGGAGGTGCGCAGGAACGCGCCGACAGCTGCACACCTGGAACCACTAAGGGAGCGTGAGGTCACAATGGGCCCTGCGTGGGCCACCACTCCGCCAGACACCGCAGGTTCGCAGGAACGAGTCGACAACTGCACGCCTGGCGGCACTGAAGGAGGGCGAGGTCACGTTGGGACGTGCGTGGGCCATCACTCCGCTGGACACCGCAGGTGCGCAAGAACGCGCCGGCAGCTGCACGCCAGGCGGCAGTCACTAAGGGAGGGCGAGGTCACGTTGGGACCTGCGTGGGCCACCACTCTGCTGGACACCGCAGGTGCGCAGGAACGGCCCTACAACTGAACGCCTGGTGGCACTAACGGAGGGCGAAGTCACATTGAGACCTGCGTGGGTCACCACTCCGCTGGACACCGCAGGTGCGCAGGAACGCGGCGACAACTGAACGCCTGGTGGCACTAATGGAGGGCGAAGTCACCTTGGGATTTTCGTGGGCCACCACTCCGCTGGACACAGCAGGTGCGCAGGAACGCGCCGACAGCTAAACGCCTGGCGGCACTGAAGGAGGGCGAGGTCACATTGGGATCTGCGTGGGCCACCACTCCGCTGGACATGCCAGGCGCGCAGGAACGCGCCGACAGCGGCAGGGAGGGCGAAGTTACATTGGGACCTTCGTGGGCTGCCACTTCGCTGGACACCGCAGGTGCGCAGGAACGCGCCGACAGCTGCACGCTTTGCGGCACTCAGGGAGGGCGAGGTCACGTTGGGACCTGCGTGGGCCACCACTCCACTGGGCAACGCAGGTGCGCAGGAAGACGCCGACAGCTGCACGCCTGGCGGCACTAAGGGAGGGCGAGGTCACATTGGGACCTGCGTGGGCCACCACTCCGCTGGGCAACGCAGGTGCGCAGGAACGCGCCGACGGCTGCACGCATGACGGCACTAAGGGAGGGCGAGGTCACGTTGGGACCTTCGTGGGCCACCACTCCACTGGACACCGCAGGTGCGCAGGAACGCGCCGACAGCTGCACGCCTGGAATCACTGAGGGAGCGTGAAGTCACATTGGGACCTGCGCGGGCCACCACTCCGCCGGACACCGCAGGTTCGCAGGAACGAGTCGACAACTGCACGCCTGACGGCACTAAAGGAGGGCGAGGTCACGTTGGGACGTGCGTGGGCCACCACTCCGCTGGACACCGCAGGTGCGCAGGAACGTGCAAAAAGCTGCACGCCTGGCGGCACTCAGGGAGGGCGAGGTCACATTAGGACCTGTGTGGGCCACCACTGTGCTAGACAGCGCAGGTGCGCCGGACAGCGCCGACGACTGAACGCCTGGTGGCACTAAGGGAAGGAGAGGTCACATTTGGACCCGTGTGAATCGCCACTCCGCTGGACACCGCAGGTGCGCAGGAACGCGCCGACAGCTGAAAGCCTGGCGGCACTAAAGGAGGGCGAGGTCACAGTGGGACCTGCGTAGGCCACCACTGTGCGTGACCGACAGCTGCACGCCTGGTGGCACTACGGGAGGGCAAAGTCACGTTGGGACCTGCGTGAATCGCCACTCCGCTGGACGCCGCAGATGCGCAGGAACGTGCCGACAGCTGCACGCCTGGCAGCACCTAGGGAGGGCCAAGTCACATTGGGACCTGCGTGGGCCATCACTCCGCTGGACACCTCAGGTGCGCAGGAACGTGCAAAAAGCTGCACGCCTGGCGGCACTGAGGGAGCGCGATGCCACATTGGGACCTGCGTGGGTCACCACTCCGCTGGACACCGCAGGTGCGCAGGAACGAGTCGACAACTGCACGCTTGACGGCACTAAAGAAGGGCGAGGTCAAGTTGGGACGTGTGTGGGCCATCGCTCCGCTGGACACCGCAGGTGCGCAGGAACGCGCCGACAGCTAAACGCCTGGCGGCACTAAAGGAGGGCGAGGTCATATTGGGCCCTGCGTGGGCCACCACTGTGCTGGACACCGCAGGTGCGCAGGAACGCAAAGACAGGTGCACGCTTGTCGGCACGAAGCGA